GAAAAATAGAAAGGTTTCTTCCAATAAACAATCATTTTATTGACCAATTCAACTACCTTCAACAACTAGGAAAACACGTCTAACCCATTACTTTGCATCTTCTCTTGGAACACATGCCAGAACAGGTTTGTTGCCCAGTAAAGTCCCTCGACACGAGTCTACATGATTACCACCATCATGCTCTCTATCGTGTTAGGGCTTTTGCGAGCCAAAACAAACCCCAAAAAAATTCAAAATGTTGACCAGTTCTGCACACAATGGAAACCACAAGCCAGAGTGGAACTGTTTATAAAAAACACAAATTTTGTGTTAGGAGTTTCGTCCCTTGCCGCTCTCAAAGTCACGACATTATAAAAAAAACACTTCGATTAGACCTTTGTCGCCTAGATCTCCTCCTCTTAGGAACTTTTTTAAAGCTTTCTTGGCAGTAGAGATCCTCATTTTTTTCCAAAATCAAATGCCATCGAAATATCCCGAATGAATAAGCACACCGAGTGGTTTCAAGGTGACAAAATCAGGCATAGGATCAGATATGATCCCCTTGGTTGGGCTGCAGGCCTCCTTCATGACCAGATTAATTCTCTAGCATCTGTGACATCACCGGTAGTAGAATCTCCCATTTTAGATAGGACCATGGTCTCCGTTTTATTTATCCCGAGCTCTCTTACATCCTGCCTCATCGATTCCTCTGAAAGCAACAAATTATCGAAGTCACCAAGGGGAGAAGCTTCAGATTGATGAGACTGCATTACGTTACCTTTAAAGTATAGGCCATCATCATTCTGATATGAAACCGTATCACCAACCGTTTGATCCACGAGGGATATTACCTCCTTTCACATCAGATCCTCTATCATTTTATTCTGATGAGAAATTTAGTCTTTGAACTTGCCTATAAAATCGATATCTAATAATTATAAACTATTCGTTAGTCCGAAAGCAAAAAGAAAAAAAAAAGAAAAAAAAAGATGTGCTTCAAAAAACGCTCCACTGGAAATATTCGGATCAACAACAACCGCAGCAAGATGCAGTTCTGACCCTTCTGGCACGACAGAAACATGAGTCTCCGTCGAATCATTCATGGGGTGCTTTTCCAAGTAAGCAAATCTCCTGTTCAACAGAGGATTCCCCCTCTACCATCCTTTCTCTTAGAAAGGCTGCCTCGAAGTGGTTATAAGAAACTGTTCTGCCTCGACGAGCCTATAGAGAAACCCCCCTGTGGATTCCTTTTTCCTCCGACATTTTAACTCTCTTCTGAGGCTCTTCTTTCGATTTAAACTGTGTCTTCTTTCGTTCGAGAACTAGTCTTTTGCCCTCTATGACGAAGAATCTCCTCCACGTTGACAAGCGGAACCCTCATCTCTTCTAGAAGAACTGTCTTATCTTTAAAGCAAAAAAAGTCTGATGATGCATATAAAGGTCTACTTTCGTTTCTATGTGATTCTATAAATACCCCGAGCGACAATAATTATTTAAGTTTGGAAAAATATCACATTTAATACTTTTTATGAAATTTAACTTGAACTTTTGTACTTTTTTCTTGAGATAGTTCAAATGACTTCACAAAAATACTTCTCGATACGAAATATGCAATAACTCACTTCTTCAGCTTGAACTCACTTCTTCAAAGCATAGTCTCCTAAGCGAATAGAAATAGGATCCTCAACAAACCTCAACAAGAAGGATAGGTAAAAGAGGGATGGATCTTTTTCACAAGAAAGCCAAGACACTCGTGAAAAGAGCAAATTCTTCTAATGAATGGCATAAACCTAGAGACTACTTATTTCAGGATAAGCATATAATGCCCCCAAGCGAAGGCCAGTCCTGAAAAGTTGTTGATGATAAAGAAATCAAATTCCTCGCGTGACAAGCTGATGAGCCCTCAAGGAGAAATGAACCGTTCCCGATAGAAGCGTCATCCTTGCCTTGAAGGTCTCGAAGGAATAAAAAAATCTTTATTCTCTCATTTTTCTTGTAGACGTCTGACCAAAGAGCGGAGATAATTGGAGAACTAAATGTATACAAATATGGGTATACTTGAATTTTTGCTAAATTTCTCTTCATGAATTAAGCTACTTGTCGAAGGGGCTAAATTGAGCTCACTTGTCGAAGTGGTTGAATCGAGCCAATCTGCTGAAGTGGCTGAATCGAGCTTGCTTATCAATCCGATCATTCTCATCTTCCTCGAAAGGACGACCTAGCCCAACTATGCGACAAACAACTATAAGAGGAAACCATTATGACTTCGAAGATACATCATGACTAATAAGGACATTTGTCGATCCCTTAAGAAAGATGTGACTCGTTCCTTTCATCCAGGTATCAAGGATGACCACCGTACTGTCAATGCTTGACATTGACCGACAATACCTGACATCAATATCACAGTCTTTCATCAGGACATTGGAGGAAGGCGACATATAGTATAAGATGTCCTACTTCAATTATTTTATTGATTTTCTCCTTTTTGTATAAAAGAAGTGGAGAAAGGAGAACAAGTGGTTGCTTTCTTTTTCTCTCTCTAGATCCTCTTGTTTCATTGCTCTCTTGGGAGATCGCTTTATATCTCGGGGATCCTCTGAGGAGTCCCATCTAGGGGTGTAAACAAGCCGAGCTTGAGCGAGCCTAGGCTTAGTTTGTGTTCAGCTTGTTAAAAAATACCACTTTGTATTCAGTGTGTTTATATATCGAGCTCAAAAAATTCGTTCGTGTTCAACTTGTTTGCTTGGCGCCGAACACGAGCTGTTCGCGAATAAAGAGCGTTTAGATAACCTAATCATGCAGCCATAGAATGTTAAGAGCAGGGGTGAGATTTTAATTTTATTTCTTATATCAAAATATATATTTAAATAGAGTTTAAAATAAATTCTTGATTATAAATCTTTGTAGCTGATAGTCAATCAAATTATTTAAAAATAATCATCATCATTTATATATATATATATCAAATATATATATATATATATAATTTAATTATTTAGAGTTAAAACGAGCCGAACATAAATGAACAAAATTTTATTTGTGTTCAGCTCATTTATATGTCGAGCGCAAAAAATTTGTTTATGGTCGGCTCGTTTGCTTATTAAACTAATAGAATAAGAGCGACTTAACGAGACAAACATGAGTTGTTCACGAACGACGAGTCATTTTGATAACCAGAAATTGAAATTCAATACATTTCCTAAGATTCCCTCAAAAGATTCATCCATCTGTCTCTATCATTCCCTTTGCGATACAAGATCTTTTGCCGGGTTGTATGTACTCTCAAACGATACGAGTCCGTACGCCTCAAAAGAATTCAACATTATTAATATTGAATATTTTTTTTTCTAAGAAATATTGAAATATTATTTTGAGAAGCTATTAAATGCACGAAGTTAGTCTTTTAGAATAGATGGTAGATGTACTAGTTATATTATAGATTTATTAGAACAAATAATGTTGGTTTAGTTTTGATGAAGTTGCATAAAGACTAATCATCAGGTCTGTGTGATTTGGATTTGGAGTGTTAGGAAATATATTGAACTATAATGCATACAAATTTTTTTTAGTTTGGTTGATTAAAAGAATAAAAAAACATGAATATGAGAGATATTTTGATATCAATGTTTGGAAAGAGAAGATATTCAGAAGTGTCACAATTATAAGGTAATCAAATTTATGAGTTTTATAAAGCTATTCGAGGAGATATAAGATACACTGGCTGAGCAAAAATAGGTCTTTATCATAAAATTGTATGATTATATGTGAGTAAGCCTTCTTGCAATCAAATAAAATTAACAAGTATTAACAAACTAGTTCAATGAATTACAATAGTTAGACAAAATTGCATTAAATTTATATGCATATTGAATTTTAATTGTACTATATATTTAATAATTAAAAATTTTAATTAATCAAAATTTATTTAAATAATATATCATTCATATATAGAGCATTTAACAAGTTACTTTTGAACAACAAACAAGTTTGTTCGCTCACATTTTAAAAAAGTTAAGACTACGTTCAAATTTTGTTCATTTAACTTTCGAGTTTAAAATAAAATATGAAGATTTTTTTTTAAATTTGATCAAACATGATCAAGTTTTAATCGGGTCGAGTTCGAGCTACCCTTTAAGCATACTGGTTCATTTACATCACTGCATACATGTACACACGGAGATATATATATATATATATATACACACACACACACACATTTATACATATGTATATATATGTTTATCTATCTGTATGTATACATCTTCACACACACAGACATACATAAGTACGTTCATACATACGTTTTGTATGAAATAGTGTTAATGTTGATTTTGGAAAAAAACAAATGTTATGTAGCATGGTTGGTAAAAGCATAAAGAGGGTAATGTTTGTAAAGGAGTGATGATTTGAATAAAACATTGAATAAGGTAGTAGGAAATAACTTCAGGTTGTTTGAACGTGTAGAATGTAGGGTAAATGGTGTGAAAAAGGATGAAAGGAATTGATAGGGAGCTATTTTCATAACTTAAAAGTTGAGAACTCCAATATTCTCTGATTTGGATCATCAAATTGCAATTTGATATGTCAACAAAATTATTAGCTTGAGGGTATAAAATAATAACATGGTAGGCTTAAGTTAATGATTTGTTCAACTGCATAATTTGATCAAACATCTAATAAGTGTCTAATGTAACTTCTATTTTAATAGGAGGTTGCATCTAATGGCAATTGGGAATGACCAAGGACTGTCCACAGTTTTGGTCCTCGACAAGAGGCTCTGCTCTATCTGGGTGGGAAACCCATCCCTGAAGCTTAATTTGTATGAGATCATACAACATTTCCATCGACTAAACACACACATGCAGCTAGAATTAACTAGAGTCCGCATCATTATAAATTAAACTTCCTTACAATTTGATGTACTCAAAGTTTAAAAATTACTGTTCTAGACCACTAACCTCATCAAATTTCAATATTTAGGAAATTCCTCTGATTTGTATTTTTATTTATTTCTACAGAAAAACAGTTCCTGTGGAGGAAATTCTCACTATAGATCTGAAGCCTGGGTGGAAGAAGGGGACAAAGATCACTTTCCCAGAGAAAGGAAATGAAGCTCCACATGTAATTCCTGCCGACGTAGTCTTTATAATTGACGAGAAGCCTCACAGTGTGTTCATGAGGGAAGGCAACGATCTTATTACCACGCAGAAGATCTCACTCGTTGAAGCTTTGACAGGATACACGGTCCATTTGACAACGTTGGATGGACGAAGTCTCACCATACCCATAAACTCTATAATCCATCCGGGCTATGAGGAGGTGGTGCCCAAAGAAGGCATGCCTATTCCCAAAGATCCAACCAAGAAAGGTAATCTAAGAATCAAGTTTAACATCAAGTTCCCATTGAGGCTGACTTCAGAGCAGAAAACGGGAATCAATAAATTGCTGGCTCCTTGATGAAGCACACAAACGTTGATTAAGGAGGGAATTTCTTCTGCTTGATGTATTTTTTTTTTACTACTACACCCGTTACTTTGCTGTTTGATTTCAATAAAATTTGTCAAAGTAGGTATTGATCTTTACTATTTATAAGCTATTTTAGCCCTTAATATGTTAGTCAGGAAAAGTGAAATTGGAATATGGTTCGCTGGTAGATGTCAAAGGGGAGTGGCAACTGTATGTCTTTGGTGCTTCTTCGGGAGGATTTTATTTTTCTGAAATGGTGAAACATGCGCAGAATTTGATGATTCTTTTCTCTGGAAGTTTCTTAAATTTGAAAAAGCGCTTGCATCTAATGTTGTGGCCAAGAAGAGGAATTTGGATTTGTTCTGAAGTTAGTTTACTTCGAGAAATAGTAGTTTGTTGTAGTGTTTATTTCGTTAAAATATTGTTTTTTTAGCTGATATTTAAATGGGCAAGAACATTATAGTCCATTTTGAATTGTGACTTGCCCGGTTCTTCCCCAACTTGTATGTCCTTAACCTGCTTTTATGAAATAACAATTTAATTTGACTTGCTTTTTGGCACCATCTTTGGATATAGTACTTTTCCATCTCAAAGGTTAAGCTCTGTTACTTAGCATAAAATTGTTGTTGGAATGATTGTTTATGTAGTAACACTTGAAGGTTTATATGTGGGCGTTTCAAAATCTGATATGTCTAACTCAATTAATATCGGTGTATCCTGAAACTGGAGAACAGAAGCTTCACTATCTGAAGTAACATTGTCATCTTTTACCAATCCATCTTGATTAAGTAAGATTTGAGAATTGTCAATTGTGATTGAGATTATGATTGAAAATAGTTAGTTTTTTTTTTTTAATTTTTAGAAATGTAATCGTTTGAAAATAGATAAAATTTAATCAAAATAATGATGCTTGGTATTATAAATTCTCAGAGGAACAAAGAAAAAAAATCTTAGATTCAGTAGCTTGAGGGATTTCTCACTTTGGTTCGTCATATCTAGGGCTGTAAAAAAAGCTCGTTGTTCGTGAATAGTTCGTGTTTGGTTCGTCAATGAGTTCGTGTTCGTTTCGTTCGATAAGTAAACGAGACAAACGCAAACAAATTTTTTTAGTTCGGTTAGTTAAACGAACCAAACACGAACAGTGATGCGTTCGTTCGTGTTTGAATCGTTATTGTTTGAAATATAAAATAATATAAAATAATTATATATAAAAAATTTATTATATTTTAAAACATTAAATTTTATAAATTATAATATATAATAAAATAATAATAATAATATATTAATATACTATAGTAGTAATATACTAATATAGATATTGTATATTTATATAATATAAGTTATATAATTAATATATAATATTATTTTTATATATTAATATTAGGGATGTCAAACTGGCTCGTCGTTCGCGAACAGCTCGTGCTCGGTTCGTGTTCGGCTCGTTCGTTAAGAAACGAACACGAGCTTATTTCAAACAAACTAAATTTTAAACGAATCGAATACGAACACAAGCTTTGTTCGGCTTTGTTCGTTCGTGTTCGACCCCTAGTCATATCCAACATAGGGATACTAGCAACCACTATTCTATATTTGATTACTTCAAACTTCTCGATTCTCTTCTTGGGCTCTATTGGGAAATCTTCTTTTGCTATGATACAGAAGATTGGCTTTGTAGGCTTTTCATTTCAATCAATGCTTGGGCTGTTGACGTTTGGATATTATTAAAGATCTTCTTAGACGTCATATATCAAATTGTGCTCCAACCATCTTTTTTTCATGACAGTTGGATGGAACAATCATATCAATTGAAATAATATTGACAGAACCCTTTCAGGTTCTTTCATATATTCATTTGATACCACTTGATATTGAATTTCAACTGGTCAAAAGCTAAAATAGTCTTCTATAGAATGACTACTGACCTTCTGGTAAAAAGAGCAATACTTTGGATGATCTTTCTTACCAACTTTTTCTAATCTTTTTGGCTCTCGCAGCATGGCTCTGGTTTCTTGATTAGGTTGCAAAACATATTTTCAATTGCTTTTGTTTTGAATGTATATGTCTTATTCTTGTGATCATCCATAGTAAGATGTAACCTTCAATCTGAGGGAACCTCTATTGACATAACTACTGACTATGCTAAGGAGACTGATACTGTGGTTGTTGGGCATACTATATAGGTTGAAAAGAACAAATGTTCTACTGCTGCTGCTGTTGTTACTCTGGTTATATCTATATCAGTTGTTTCCCCTTGTCTACATCCAACACATTCCCTCACTTCTTCTCAAAGACTTTTATCAGCTTTGGCATTGTTGGGCTCTTCAAGAAAATTTAGTAGCTTAACTTTTTGTAAACTACCTGCTTTATTAAGTAACTTTTCATAGCCCTTGATTGTGAATCCCTTTAAAAGAAAAGCTACAAGTCCATGTATAGTCTTGAGAAGAATCTCTATGGTGTATTGTTCATGGAGATGTAGTTTTCATTCATGTTTAAATTCCTCCATCTTAATATGTATTCTACAAGGGTCTCTTAGGTTTTCTATTTTTTAACAACCAAATCACCAACGGTGATATGTTGCTGGGCTCCAATAAACTACTTGAGGAAAACATTTTGTAATTCAACAAAAGTCTTCACTAACCCATTAAGCAATTCAACGTACCGGTTGAATCTTCTTTTCAAGGGTGTAGTCATATAAATGACTGTGGCCGAGTAGCAGTAATCCTTCAGACAACCTCTTTCCCATATGCAATAGATAGAGGGTGAAACTCACTACCTCCTAAAAGATGCGAAGTCTCAAGAAGCACAAATCCCTATTCATAATCCATCTTCTTTGCCTCATTAATTGTTTACTTTCTTTACCTTAGGTACTTTTTTGTTCTTATTCCTATACTGGGTTTGGGTCAAAGGTGCAGACCTCTAGGTAGATCTAATCTTAAAAGTTGTTGGAGGAACTTCATACTTAATCAGATTGATATCTTCATTAGCAGCGTCTGGCTTCTGTGGTGTTTTAGAAATGGCAGTTTCTTAGACTCAGACAAATTTCCAATTTAGCCTATTGATGGTATTAGAATTTCCATCTCAAACTTGAAATGATAATCTTGTACACTTTTTAACCTTCACAGCTTTAGCACTCATGATAACAAAAGCAAGGTTACCGTAGGTCATTTTAAGTCTTGAAACCCCTTGTTGAACTTAAGAACTTATTATGGAGGCAAGGCTTTCTTGCAGACTACGAAGATCAAACTAGTCTCAAAAGAGAAGATCAACTCAGGGGAAACCATTTCTAAAAGTTGAAAAAATTAAATAATTAGTTTAGTGCTCCATATTGGTTGTGGAGGTTTTAAAATAGAAGAAAACTTCATAAATTGTTTGATTTACTGGGGAGTTGCAAGATTTAACAAGTTATTTTAAATTTTAATTTTTTAAATTACAAACAAATTTATATATGATTGAAAAGTTCAAAAGGAACAAGTTCTAGAAAGAAATAATGGTTTAAAATTGTTATTAAAAAACAACCATGAAAGAACAGAAAGTTGGCTTGAAAAAGAAGAGATCGAAGAAAGGTGGACCCAACCTCAGGATTATGGAATGCCAAATTGTTTTTAAACAAGGTTGTTTTCTTTATTGGGGTTCCATAAATTTAGAATTTAGGAGATTCTAATAATTTTTTATTTAGGAATGTTTAAACAGGCGGTTCTAAAATCGAAGAAATGATGTTGACAGTACTTATCTAAAAACAAAATGAGTAAGATTACCAACAAACGAATGGTAGTTCAGCCTGTAAAGGAATACAAACTCACGATGTATGAAGGTAAAACTACTAGACGAAGATGGAGAGAAAAGTTATTTCCTAGTCGAGTTACCCAAAAAAAAATGTTGGTTTATTCTATGTTATTCAACGGATATTTTGAATATTTAATTATTTAAATAATCAAATATGTAAAAAAAAAAATTCATGTTGACCTAATTTTTACATGAGATATATTATGTTCTCTCTCTAGAGCCTAGGATCTACCTTTAGGGTTTTCTTAGTGGTTCTCCAAGAAGACTAATGAAAACTTTGGTTGAGTTGGTTAAAAATCAAGATATTTAAGCTTAAGTTGAGTTCTTATATACTTGGGAATGTCTTAAGTTACCCTTTGACCCTAGAATTTAGCCTTCTATTTGGTCTCTCTTATTGGAAACTTTACACCTCTCTCTCCTAGCTCTTTGGGTGACTTTTTCTTTAGTTCATAAAGAGTACATTGAGTATGATGCTCATTTTAAACTTGTATTTTAATAAAAGAGAAAATAAAATAAAAATCACCTAATTAAACAAAAATTAAAAACAAGGATGTCCAATGTAAATAAAATTGACCCAAAAAGTGAAATTAAAATTAAAGCTCATTAACACTTCAAAAAAGGAAAAAAAATTAAATAGATTCACCGAAGTAGAATTAAAATCAAGATAAATGATATAGAATTAAAAAAAATTAAATTCATTGATGTAGGACCACCAAATTGAAATTTCAAAATATTAAACATGAATTTATCAAATTGAGATTAAAATAAACCAAAACTCATTAAAACTTAAAAGTAAAAGCAAAATTATAATAAAGTCACCTACAGTTCGAACCTATAATTTCAAATATAACAAAATGAAAATGCAAGAAAAAAATGAGAAAATTAAAAATCAATCCTATAAATTTAAAATCCAAAAGGTTCAAGTTCATTAAAGACTAAATAAGTAGAGGGAAAATTGAAAATAAACTAGACTCACTAAAATCTCCAAATTTAAAAATAAGGTAAAAATTACAAAATGATAATAAAATTCAATAAAATTAAAATCACACATCAAAGTCAGCTTGTGAAATTAAAGTTAAAGGAAGACAAAATTTAAATGAAGTTATCAAGTCCACCTAAAGTCAAACTTAAAATTGAAATCAAACATAATTAAATTTATTAAGTACCAATCCAAATTTAAATCAAACTAAACTCCATAAAGTTAAAACCATCAAAATTAAATAAAATCAAGATCTAAATTTCATTAAAATCATGAAATCAAACTAACTAAAATCCAAATCAATCAAACCAAAGCCACTTAAATCCAAATCAAACATCATTCTACCACGAAACTAAGCTCAAACTTAAACACAATCCAAAATTTCGAGCCACCTCAAGCTCCCCATGAGCCAAGGAAAATCTAAGCCGCTAAGCCACCAAACAATCATGACAAGCCATCAACTTCAAGTCGTTAATCCTCTGCATGGCAAGTGAACTAAAGCTAAGGCAAGGGCAAGTGCAAGATAAATCCAAGCCACCAAGCAATCTCTCGCCAATTGAAATCCAACAATCCAAGCCCCCCAAGTGACCATACCCTAAACCCATTCTCATAACCATCTTTGACGATGATAAGATAAGTTCTCCTATGTAATTCCAAACCACCCAATGTAAACCAAAGTAACCTAAAACTTAATGGAGTGAACCAAATTGTAAGGAATTTGCCATCTTTTACTCCCTTACACAAAACAAGAAGAAACTAAACCAAACTAAAAA